CTGTACTTTGATTTACAATGTGATGGCCTTCTCCGCACAATATTACATGTTAAAAGATCATCTGAGGTCCCTAAATAATATACTAGGACCTTCTCTTATAAAGACCAGTACATTTTTGGTTCTGAGAATATCCGATCATGGCAGAGATATGCCATTATCCATGCTTCCCGGAGTATGATCTACATCCTATAAATAATGAACAAGCATGGAATAATGGAATCTCAGTATTGCGGCATTTTAGAGTGGAAAACAGATTGATGAATTGATGCTGTTTGTATGCCACCACAGCCACAAAGGTGCCTGCAAGTCAAGGATTCATCATTCTGATTCTTAGTGTTCAACAGCTTAGAGGTGAAAATGCAGGCTGTTTCCAGAAATGAATTGTTTAACAATAAATGAGGCTAAGGATCCTGCCAAGGAAAAGGAAAAAAATCACAGGTCCTTAAATTTCAGGTTTTTTTTTTCTTTTTTTTTTTTCTCCTTAATTACATAATCATTTTTTGGACAAACATATAATTGTTTCCACACTTTCAGACTGTCCCTTTACTTTTTCCTCAGTCTTATCAGTATTGAATAATTCCAGCCATCACCTTTTTTGCTGTTCCAACATTTTCTATCAAACAGTATAAACATATCAGTATTATATTTTTTTGAATGAATAATTTATTTTTTTATTTCATGTTTTGGCATTTTCGAGATCCCCCTGCAGAGACGTTATTGCATAATCTGTTTAATCACTGTCCAATGTTTTTGCTTTGGTTCTATTTCCACATTATGAGACTAAAGGGATAAAAATGTGGAAATGGGGATACCTTAATGTTATCCATCCATCCATCCACCCATCCACCAACAGTTTGGACCACCATGGTTTATACGGACAAAGAACTGACTGAATTCCATATAGCTGTGTTGTTCTTCCAGTCACTTATAAGCAGGATTGTAAGACAATCAAGAGTTCAAAGCTGTTGTTTTTCTGTCCAACTCTTCATCTCCTATTCACAAAAAGAGCTCTTCAGAACTCTGATGGGAGTTTGTAGCTTTGAGGCTAATTTAGGTCCTCACATACAGTACATAAAGTTCATCTATGCTGCCCATTCTCCACCCTGTTGCATCTCCCTTACAAGGACATTGCACTTATTCCTCGCATGATACTTATTTTCTTTGATCTAGTGACCTCATGATAGCAACTTGCACAATCTAGTCCAATTACCCTTTTTAAGTCAAAACAAGATGGGGACTAAAGTAAAAAAGCTTTAAGAACTCAGAAGAAAGACCCATGTAAAAATAAAGTTTATATTTCATGCTTGAAACTAGTTTATTTATGTCTAGTGACATCTTCAATTTACAAGGCATGTGATTTTTTTTTTTTTTTTTTGCAATTGTAAAAACGGGAAATTTTGGTAAGTGTACTTTCAATGTCCTCTGTATTTTATTACTGATTTGGTCATGCGATTGGATAAGCCAAGAAATATAATAAGTGTTTACAAAGGTAGTTGTTAATTTAAATAGTATTTGATCACATACTGGTAGTCTGACTGGTAATTTGTGTGGTTTACTTTTAATTTTACTTGCATATTGGTTATCTGGCTGGTCATTTTTCACTCAAACTAGTAATCTCAATGGTTTACTAGTAGTAAACCTGACTAATTTATGGTACATCTGATTTGTTTTTTAAATAGTTTACATGTAAATTGACTGGTGTGCAGGGTGACTAAATGCAATGTGTTCCTCTGCAATTGCAAAAAGCAGTTGCTTTGCTAGATTTCACAAAGGCTAGTAGGACTGTTTTCGAAGGACAGACAGTTTTCTCTAGTGATGTTTTGCACTAAAATGTTTGAAAAGCCATCTTAGGGGCCAAGATTACTAACCTGTTCACACCTTTAAAGGTGTGAACAGGTTAGTAATCTTGGCCCCTATGATGGCTACTAACCTGTTTTCACCTTTAAAGGTTTTCCCAAAGGGCGGTAGCGACAGACTGCTTTCTGATGAGGTTTTTGCACTTCTTCTTTTCCACATTTAGAGCATGAGGTACACATCTATTTGCACCTCTGAGACTTTCACACAGAACAGGTAGTATTGTGGTGACTGGTTTATACAGAAGTTTTTCTACTATTTTGTATTACCATTCTAGTTCCTGAAATATATTTCTGTACTAATTTTATTTTATGCCCCATATTTTGCAGTATAGATTAACTGGTTTTACATGTTTTCTTACAGTGCTGTTCTGAACCCTGGCAAATATTTACTGTGGATTTTCCCCAAATATAGATATGGAGCACGATATCTGCAGTACTTTGTGATGATGTCATGGAGAGGCTCGGCTGACGTTGATATTCACAACAAAAACAAAAAACACATTTTACAAAGCTTTTTCTTACAAAAATTACAACAGGACTGCATCCTGCAGAGAAACAAAGTTAGAAAATAAAATAATTAAAAAAACCTAAATATCTTGAAGGTCTTGAAGGTTTTTTAAACCTTCCCCAGTAGAAGCTGTTGCATGCGGTTTGCCATGTTTTTTTTTTTTTTTTTTTTGCATAGATATCTCAGCATAGTTCCAAATTTTCAAGGTGCACAGAGTGGAAATTCTGCACAGACGCTGAGTGTAGAGGCGTGGAAACCAAAATATACATTCTTTGAACACATGTACCTCGTGGATGTGTCAAACATAAACCAAGCTTGAGTCACATAACCCTGCATGCTTTCGATGGGTCTCTGATTTTAATATAGGTAAACACCTTAAATATACAGGACAGTGGGTCTGAAAAACCAGGGTTAAGCACCCCTGATATAGAAAAGCTACGGATGATGTCATAGCAAAAACAGATGGTAAAGGGGCAAAAGTCGTTGTCAAGTGGTTCACACTTTTTTGTTTGGTATTTAAACTGCAGGTTTCCCCCACTTAAATGCAGCTTGCTTCCAGAGATTTCACAGGATTTCACTCAGAACACCCAAGTTGATTCTTTCCTTTTTTCTCTTTTATTTGAAAGTTCAATCAACAATAGTAGTAGCAGTAGGAGAAAAACCTTTAAACAAACACAGAGAAACAATGATTAACATCCTTTAAATAACAAAATTGTTCCTGAAACAAAATATAAGATTTAAACCCAAAATCAAACATATTCAAAGCATTATTTAGTGATACATTTTAACATTTTATTATTAATTTACTTTCTCAAATACATTTCAAATAATTCCTCTTTTTTTTTTTTACTTTTCTCAATATTTTAACATTTCAATCTAAATATTCAAATAATTTGTGGCTCACCGGCTCCTTCTCTTTGGAACAAACTTTCCTGCAATGCATTCACCCAGGCACAGATGGTAAAGGGGCAAAAGTCGTCTCTGGCAAATGGGACTGGGTTGTGCAGCAGCATGATAGACTTTCCCCTCCATTGTTCATCAGATATACGGATTAAGTCTATTTTCAACCAATGACTTGGCAAATAGCATCAGTTTTATAAAAATCAGATGAACCATAAAACAAGTCAGACACAGGGAATCAGCTAAATTTCAAAATGAAAGGCAATGCACTTCTAATGTCATATAAGTAGGCAATGATTGCTGCAGAGCTATGTCTTGCAGTTGTTAACCGAACTGACGTGAAGTGGTATGTGTGAAGCCTGCTTTAGGGGGAGCCAACAGAACAATGTTATCGACAAAAAGTAGAGATGACAATGGCCCCTCCTTGAAGCACATCTTTAACGTGGTTTTCATACTCATTTCTACAATCACCCATAATTTAAAGAAATAGCTCAAAGTTCATTATAATGTGAGGTTGAGTCATAACCATACTCAGATTAATACATTAACCCCTAGACTTATAACCTCACACTAAATCCACTCCTGTGCAGTTGGATTTCTTTACATTAAATCTATGATGCAACTTTTTCCTGCTATTGCATCTTTTCAAAAGACAGATTGTTCTTAATTCATTTAGTAAGTCAAAACCTGGCTATTGAGGAAGTCCTTTTTCTGGAAAAAAAATGTATTTTCATTTTTTTCTATATTATTGTTATTTCTATTGTTATAAAAGTTAAGTAACACATTTTTTAAATGTTTCTACTACAGTAGCAGCCATTCAAAATGGCCCTTCCCAGTCAAACGCCAGCCGAATGGCAGCCCACTTCCCTACAATTCCCAGCAAAATCCCCTCCTACTTCCAGCCACTGGAGTGACCCCTACTTCTCCTGGGTGTGCATATTTTTTTTACTCTGAGTCCACCCTTTCACTTAATTATAGGGTCTGGCCAGGAGGTGGAGCATCTCTTTAGATCTTAAGGTCAACAAATCATGACAGCAAAAATATTTTAGTACAAAGATTGACGTTTAAAGAGGAATTATGGGGACCAGCCAAGAGTCCATCAAAGAAAATGGGAAATTCATACTGCTGTACCAAGCTTTACACTGAACATAAGATTTAATGAAATAATCAGATTTCTTTTTTTCTATAGAATTCATGGTTAAAAGGTGAATAGTTATTTGAGGTCTTCTGGAAGGTGCTGGTGAAGATTATGTCATTCCAAAAAAAGTTTTGAAAAAAGAAAAAAAGTCCACTGTACTTCCTTTTCAAGATTGAAGATGTTTCGCTTCTGACCTAGGAAGCTTTTTTCAAAGCTTGAAAAAGCTTGGATAGGAAGCAAAACTATTTTTGGGAATCTTCTCGAAGGGGAAAAATTGGAAACTAAGAAAACAAACAGCCTCAACAGGACTGAATGTTGCTAGTTTATTCAGGTTGCCATAAAAAGTGAAACTTGTGACTTCATGATTCTGTACATGATTTTTGTTTAATTGTTCAGCTTTAAGTACCATTATACGTTTTCTTTCATGATGAGTCACTTTAAAAATGTGTCTAAGGTTGGAGTTGTTATTGGTTGTACTTAAAGGCTATATGCCACAGAAGGTATATAACTTCAACACATATTTGATCAGAAATGAATGATTTTTTTCATCTTATTTTATGAGCATCCCTATGTTTAATTTTGGGTTTTAATTTTTCAGGTTATAAAGCTATCATTTGAAGAGTTTGACCTGGAGAGAGGCTACGACACCCTGACTGTGGGAGACGGTGGAAAGATAGGTGACACTCGGAGGGTACTATATGTGTAAGCACCAGTGATAATTTCTTATCCATAAGTTACTCGTAAAAGTATAAAATAAGTTAGGAAAACACAAGGTAAAGCGTAGGAGAGACTCTGTGCTCTGGAGAGATATTTTCAAAAATGTTTAACTCTACAGTTTAAATTAAAAACTCTTGCACATTTTACTAAAGAAAAAAGTATAAAATGATCAGGAGTATGATGTGAATGTAATCATTGGGACTACTGTGTCTTTATAGACTCACTGGTACCAGCGTCCCCGATCTCATCGTGAGTTTGTCGAATCAGATGTGGCTACACCTGCAGTCAGATGACACGATTGGTTCTGCTGGGTTCAAAGCAATCTATGAAGGTAAGAGCTCTTTCTAATTTACAAATTAAAATTTTAACTGGTCTTTTTTTTTATGAATCACCCACACACATCTATAGTAAAATATCACAGCATTGCAGGAAAGCAGGTAATCATGGGTGACTATTGAATGGCTTCAGACCTAACCAGAATACAAAAAAGTCTGTCTGTCCTTCTTGTATATCTGTCTGTCTTTAGTGTAAATGTGTTGGTTTTTGTGCATTTAGGTAATAGCCTTTGTGAACACTGTGTTACAAAGCTAAGCTTTATTGCATGTATAGTAAAATGAAATCCTGCAAACACACTTTTTGGTCTCTGCTGAGAAGTTTAAGGCCCCTTAACAGTTACAGTTATCTTCAATGTTACCCGTGATTAATGCATGTCTTTCCTTCTTGGTGGATTATGGGGTTGTGCACCTCTTACCTGGTTTGTTTTGATCTTATATTTTCTCTGTTTTCCTAAAAATTGTTTTAATGGGGCTCTGCGGGATCTTCAGTTTTAATATTTTTATACACTATCACCATTTCCTAATGTGCACTTTTTCTTGACCTGAGCTTCTTGGTGTTCTCAGTGTTTGGGCTTAGTGTTTGCTGCTTAATTAGAGCTGCTGCAGACTCTGGGGCCTATCACATGTGTGCACACACGAAGATAATATAACACTTTAACTGATCCAATTATCCAACTTCTGAAGACAAATAGTAAACATTTCAGGGCTTCAAAAGAAAATGGATGAATACATACGCAGAGCTTACACTTTGGTCTTTTTTTTTCTTTAGACTTTTCTAAAGAATTACAATTTCAAAGCATTAAGTTTCCTTACAGATGTCTCCTCAAGTTCTTTTTTTACAATAATGAAAATTATTAGTTTTGTACATTATCTACATCCGACTATTAACTAATTGCTTGACAGGATTGGCCATGTTTTAGGGCCGCTGTCCTGCAACTTTTACATAGTTCTATGCTTCAACACACCTGACTCTATTAGCTCGTTAGCAGAGCTTGATGTAGTTTAGCCATTTTATTTAAGTGTATAGCATAAGGGACATTTCTAAAAGTTGCCTTTTATCCACAACTCTATTGGACTGCTGACAGGTCAAAATCTCTGCATTTTCTGGATCTGTACATTTATATGCCTACTTTTCATCTTCCACTTATCCTGGACTGGGTAGTGGGAGCTGCACTCTCAGCAGAGACACCCAGAGTTCCCTCTGAAATATAGTTTTTATGCAAGGCATCAAGAACATATACCCGAGCCACCTGAACAGAATCCTTATGATGTGGTGAAGCACTGACTCAAGCTCTTCCAGAAGCTGTATTGAACTCTTATCCCTAGCACGCTGGCATGGTCCGTTTCAGGGAAGCCAAATTAGTTTGATCCCACTATAGTTTGAACACATCCTCTGGTTCCCCACCTCCACAATCTTCCAGTCCAGGAATACTGTCCACGACCACTGATCTCGAAGGTCATGTCAGCCACGACAACTCCACAGCATCTAGGGTCCAGAGATACTCGGGATAGATCATATCTAGCCCTACCACTGCGTAAATGTTTGATCAAAATGTTTTTTTTATTCCTTTTTCTCTTGTTTTTGTTTTACTGACATAGAAAAATATTGACTTTTAAAAACTGCATTTTTAAAAAATGTTTGATAAAATTTCCATTCGTCCAACTTTAGCTGAAAAACATAAAACTTTCCTTCAGTTTTTTTCACACCAGAGTAGTTGTGAGCTGTTGTGTGTTTATGTCTTCATTTGCCATGTAATGTGACATGAAAACCAGAGCAGACTCAGAGGGGGAATGGGGAAAGATTAAAGTTATATTCTGGATCTTTTCAGTTCCGTTTACTGCAGTGATGTTATTGACTTTCTGGGATCAGGCCCACTCAGGAATATGCAGTAACTGAATAACCATGTGACTTCTAAAACAATATAGCTCTTTTATCTTAACATCTTAGTTGGGTTTAGCTCCATAACCTATTTGTATTTTCAGATGTCAGATGCAATAACGTCATAACTGAAATTATCTAGTTTACTATTAGAAAAACCTTAGCTACAATTTTATGGTTGAAATGTTTTAGTTTCAACATGAAATTTAAGAATAAGTTTGGCTTTGTAGTTTTCAAGGTGTATTTTCTAAGTTTTTATATGTTGATTGCAGCTTAAAAAAATGAAATTGACCAGGTTGGCCTCACAAAAGTGAAGACTTTGTACACAGAAAGTAGAAATGGGAAATTCCAACAGTACTAAATGATCTCCCGAAGATGGTTTAGTTTTACCCCTCCCCCATCAGAACCCAGCAACTGCCTACTGTGTTTTTATGTCTCCCCTTGCATGGGTATATGTGATTCTGTCAGATGCAATAACATCACCACGATATGCACTTTGATCAGTCTTACCCCCCTGAGTTATCTTAGATTTTCAGCCCAAATCTGCACCAGTTTTCTTAAAAGGCATGAGGTTATGCTCCTTTTTCAGAGAAAACCTGTGTGTTTGTGTGCACCCTGTGGATTATTAAAATAAATGACCATGTTAATATGATGCACTCAAAAAAGTAACATTGCAATTAATGCATTTAAACAGTATTCAAATCCCTCCAAAAAACAATACGTTTTTATCAGATATGTTTAAAATTAAAAGAACAAATTTAAAAATAGGTATTCTGACTTTGTCAGTTAACATGTTTACATACATGTGTTTACCTCATTCATACAAATAAATTTAATAACAATTCTTTTTTTTTCTTTTTTTTTTGCATTGATTTATTCATTAAATGAAAAACAGGATGACATTTCACTATTGTTGGTATTACAAACTTAACCTAATCAGAAAGGATATAAACTCTAAATGACCTACATCTTTGTAAATGTTTTCATATTGTCTTTTCATCCTTCAAAAAGTAAAACATATAAGAGTAAGATTGTGATATCATTTTTAAGAAAAATACACTCTAATGCACCCAAAGTTTTGCATATAGTCTGCTTTCATCAAACCAATATGTCTGTTTTAAAGACAATAGAATTTTCATGTTTTCAAACTATAATTCAGAAATGTATGCTCAGGGGAACTCTGGGGTGAAAGTTTTTGAATTCGAAGAGAAAAAAAAAAATAACTGCAAAAAGTTGGAGGATAAATAATAAAACAAAATCTTGGTGAGGCAGCTACCAGCATAAGACAGACTTAACTTTGGGGTCAGGATAATTGAAATCCATCCTGACACTCGTCATCTGTGTGACAGAAAGCTCTTGGCCAAACACATCTGAGATTTCCTAAATTATTTTTCTTCTTCTGGGTATTTTTTCATCCCGGCTGAGTTCCAAACACAAATATGAGTTATATTAAGATTTTGATTGTTTGACAGAGTTCCAGGCGATAATGCGTTATATGATGACATATGCCTTATTGCCAGATTGTAAAAGAGAGGAATATAATATATTTCTTCTTTCTCCTAAATTTTATGTAATTTCCAAACAATTATGCTTGATGGGGTTGAGGGTGTTGTTTATGCTTCAACTATTGTTTTTTCTTTTACAATTAAAACAGAATTGCACTACAATTACCCTGATGACAATTAGCTGTAAGAGGGGGAGCAATTAAATAAATTTCACACAGATTGCCGCTACATCACTGCACAGCAGAACTTTCTTCCAGATCTTGGTGTCCTATTTCCATTATTTTTCACTTCAATGCAATGTAATATAAAATATATAACTGTGAAGTTGGAGATAATTGTACACGATCTTCAGCAAAAATTAAGAAAATCTATTTTTAGCTATGTTATGGATCTGCAGCCAAACTAATGATCTGTTTATAATACTTGTAGCTACAAGTCTTTTGATGAAAACATTTAGCTTTAGAAATGTAGACAATTAAATGTTTTGGTTTTATCTCTTCCACAAGCCCTGCAGGATAAAAGGGAGTGAGTCAATTCAATTTAGGCATGGACTTTGACAAAATCATGTTGATACAAGAATATGGTCTGAAAGAAACCCTCAATTTGTTTGTGTTTTTTTTTGTTGTCCTGCTGCAGGATCAAGCTCAACCCCACTCCCCAAATCCATCCATATTCCAATTAAATGTAGTTTATTAGTAGATATTATTCTGTTAACTAATCCTGCTTTAAAGTTATAGGGAAGTCATATTTAAATGTCAAATCATTCTGGCTTAAACATGTATATAAATGTACTCTTTATCAGACTATTTTTTTCCCCAAATTTATATTTATTAAAAAAAAAATCCTGTCTTAAAATATGTGGGTTTTTTCATGATCTTATGCAGGCCAGTTAGTTATATGTCAGCTTTTCATTTTTAATTTCGGCCAATCTGTCAGTCAAATTTTTTCAGTCCTAGCATCTTGATTCATATGTCGCAGCTAATATATAAGAATAATTTACTTTACCATTGAGTAACGTCCCAGTGTTCACAGGGATGGACGTCTGTCTCTTCGGCAGGCGAAGAGCTAACAAAACTGTCAGTGTTGCGAGGCAAAATAACCGACCAATCACATAAACTAAATTACATAAACTAAATACAACGGTTGGAACAGCCATTTCACTATGACTTTAAAATTTACCATAACTGTATTCTGTTTATTCAGTGTTTCCTAAAAAAAAAAAAAAAAACATTTAATCAAATCATTTAACGTGTTTCATTAAAACTGCTTTTAGTGTTCTAATTCTTGTTCTGCTCCCATTTAAAGATGGAAATTGGGCTCTTTTTAAAAAGTCTTATTGTTGGCCTCCTGGAATGAGTTAACAGGACTGAAATTCCACCTGTTTGTGTTACAGAAATTGACAGGGGAGGTTGTGGCGATCCCGGGGTGCCTGCGTTTGGTCATCGTAGCGGCGATCGCTTTCAGCACAGCGATATACTGACCTTCTTTTGCCAGTCAGCTTTTGAGCTTGTGGGGGAAAAGACCATTACATGCCAGCACAATAACCAGTGGTCTGGAAACAAGCCCAGTTGTGTGTGTAAGTAAATGTATATTTGGGATGTTTGTACTCATTTGAAGCATCATTTTTAGTGGACTTTACTAACATGTTTGATTGTCTAAAACTCCTCCCTTTTTCCACTTCTCTTTTTGCAGTTTCTTGTTTCTTTAATTTCACTGCTCCTTCAGGGACTGTGTTGTCCCCAAACTACCCGGAGGAGTATGGCAACAATCTAAACTGTGTGTGGTTGATTATCTCTGAGCCAGGAAGTCGAATACATCTCTTCTTCTCTGACTTTGACCTGGAGCCGCAGTTCGATTGGCTGGTGGTCAAAGATGAAGGTAGTAATCTTTTGATACCAAAAAAAACAGTTTTAATATTTGGTTAAAATAATTTGTATTTTTACTGCCAGTTAGGTTTTAATGATTTACAACTGAAACCTGAATTGTCCTTTTATTGCTGCTTTAAATTGTAAAATTATATAAGTCAAAGCCTTTTCTTCCAGTTGTCTTTATGAGCAGCCAATGTAGTCTTCAGACTGGATTTGGGTTAAAGAATGACTGGTCGATAACCCGGACAGAAAGATAATTGCCATTTTATGTTTTATTTCATCACATTGATCATTTTTTTCACCTCACAGTAAAACACAGAGCAATTATATTGTTGTTCCACATTTCAGGGTTATTGATTTGGCAGGTTCAAGTTAAGCCTCTGTTTGACAGGCAGGATGAAGTTGTGTTTAATTGACTGGCTGTAAACCTCTGCGTCTGCAGGGATTTTTTCTTTCTTTCGTCTTGTGTAAAGGTTTTTAGAAAATGGTAGGTTAATTGCAGCTGGGAGGGCCTGCTTCAACGTCTTTCAGCTTGCAGACAGTTGTAATGAATGACAGTTGTCTGGATGGCTCAGACAAAAAAAATTAGGACAAAAAGCTTCTATGCTTCTCATCAGGGGCTCCTAAACATTTTAGTTAATTACCTAGCTATAATGGTGTCGAATACTGCCTACCCTTTATTGGCGACCTGACAACTTGCTATACAGTAAATGCATTTATTAATTGACAATGTATTTAAATATAAAGTGGAGGACGTTATGTTATTATTATTAGATTTTTATTTTTATTACAATAATAATCTAGCCTGGCTGGAAGATGTTGAAGTCACTGGTCATTGTTAGGAAGAGGCTTAACTATTGAAACACATCTTTTTCAATACTTTTAGTAGGGGAGCTTTGAAATGGGCCTGTAATTCTGCAGTAGCAGCTTGGCTGTTTGATAATTGCTGTTTTAAGAGCCTTGGGGGAAAACACCTCCAAAAATTGACATATTTGTTATTGACCAGGACTCCTAGCTGGTCTCTTTCCCAGTGGCCAAAAAATGTGTTTTGAATTAATCTAAATACAATCAAGCTAATTCATGACACCTGTCAAAGTCTTCCATTTCAGCCTAGAAGCACAGGTGCTACAAATAGCATCAAGGTACACTAGAAGAGAAGAAAACAGGCATTTAGAGGTTAAAAAAAGAGTTTTAAAAAAGTCTATAATGTCATAAAATAAACGTGTTAAAATGAAAGTCGTTTTCGATAAAATAAAATTCAGTAAGGCTGCACTGCATTTATGTTAGTGCCAGGATTAACAATTTGAAATTGATTCCTTTCCCTTCTTTTTTGGATTTCTCATCTACTGAGTATTGAAGGCAGACAGAAATTTATAATTTAAGAACAGACTTTTTTTTACCTTCAGACTGCCAAGTTAGACAGCAGGGGGACACAAAAAAACACTTTTTTAATATTTGAGGATGAAATGCAGTAATATAGCCTGATGTGTTAAGTGCAGCGGGAATTTCTTATCAGCAGCACTAATATTCTTTTGTTTTATTTTTTTATTTAATTTTTTTTCTGGGAGGCTGCATTGAGCTGCACTCTTATTTCTGTCAAATAAACTCAAACGCACTCCTAAATTTACAGATCAAATGTGATAATTCAGTCTTCTTTCTTAACCATTTAACATTAATCTTCTATCGTAAGCAACAATAACAATATTTTTCTGAGACAGCTGCATGCTGCCATGCTCTCCTCTGTAGCTTTTGTTAAGTCACCCTCAGTTTTTTTTTTTTTTTGTTTTGTTTTTTTTTGTTTTCTAGATATGCATCTACAGGGGAGAGTCAGCAGGAATTACATTCGACCATTATTGAAAAATACTATAGGGTCTATAACTAGTCTTAACTCAATTTCTCAAGTCACAAAAAACTAGATACTAAACTCAAGTCAAAAGCATCACATTCCGGGAACCCCTAAACTGGAAAAATCAACCTTTGGTTACAGAACCTCCAGATATGCCAAGTTTGAATACACTCATTAGGTACTGAAACAAGTTGTAAACTTTATGAACAAAAAATTACCAAACATCCATCAATTCATTGCTTTTTGCTTATCCAATGTCAGGTTACAGGGTTAACAGGTCAAGGAGGAAACTGGAGCAATCCCTCCCATTCAGCAACATCCTCCAGCCTAATCAGTTGCATCCCAGGGCCTTCTTATTTTCTGTGTAGTAGGACATTCACAGTAAACCACCTAAGAGAATTACCAAGTGGGCAATCCAATGCAATGCCTTAACTACTTTGACTGATTCCTGTTAATACGGAGAAGTAGCTGCTCTGTTCTGAGCTCCCTCCAATGAAGGGGTTTTTTACCCTATATACCCATCCTTTGAAGGAAGCTTGTTTTTTTTGCTTGCATCCAGTATCTTTATTTTTGGACCTGATTAGTGTCTCATAAACAGAGATATGGGTGAGAATGTAGACAGATCAGTAAATTAAAAGTTAAGCACACTGGTGCAACCTGAGATCAAATAACTGTTTATGTTTTTTTAAATGTTTTACATTACAAAAATAATTATTGACCTGTGTCTTTTAATTAAACATTTTTGTAGTAATTGATTAAGAAATTTGTTCTGTACAGGAACGGTATTATATTCCTGCTGGGCTTTAATATATGATATCAGAAAGATGGAACAGTTAATAAAAGAGAGAAAAAAAACAACATGAAAGTCATATAAAACAGATTACATTGAATTAAATTAAATCCAGATCAAATATGAGAATATGAAAAGTACTTCTCATAGAAATATCAAATGGGATAGGCCTCACCTGCAAATCTAAACTGTACAATTGATAGTTTTAAATGTAAGCTACACAGTGAACTTGAAAATTAACACAAGCAATTACTAAGGAATACATTTTAAAGTTGTTTACCTTAGTTGGAGATAGGAATTTTAACCAGTGCAGAAAATACATAAATGAATAGTTATGTATGCTTTTCACCCTCAATTCGTCAGTACAATGGGCATTAAGCCACATCTGGTCTATCAAGAACTGCTCAATCTAGATAACAAGCCGTTCTTAACCCCTTACTCATTGTTTCATGTTAAATTAATACAGTTGTTCATAAAGTTTCATATCTATATTTTTACATTACGAGTGGTGCCTTCTGTAGACGTATTCCTGGATATAAACTTTACTTGCATATTAGGTACATTACATAATCAAATTAATAATCTGGGCAGTGTTCTGGTCCTCCCCTTGTTATTTTATTGTATTCCTCATAAGTTGAGGAAAGTAGTTTTAACACACATGTGCCACAAAGAACACAGAGGATGCATGTCTTGGGCAGTTTTTGTGGGAAGCTTTGGGGTCATTCATCGGGTTCCCAGTGAGGTCTGTAAAGGCTGTAGAGGGCAATCTTAAAGTTATTGCAATCATAAAACCCTACGGGGATGATGGGCCCTTTAAATCTTTCCTGCCATGGTGTTAGGACATCTACAGTAGCATTAACTGAAAATGAGATATTATAGCCTGTAAAGAATATAGTATGTATGTAAAGGATATTTTCTCTCAACTGCATTTTTATTTCAAACAGGAATCAGGAATAGAAAGATTAGAATCACAGTAAAATAAAACACTGGAGTCCAGAATACATTTTCCCCCATTATATTATTTGTATGCCAATTGGGTAACAATAATAAAAATCTTGGGAAACTTTGTGTTTTAAATTCTTCATCCCATCTTCAGCCCTAACTACTCTGACTAATCAACAGAACCTTCCATCAAGCAATATTTTCAAACAGACCAACACAAACTGAAACGGATGCTTTAAAAAAAAGTTTTCCTGGAATGAACTAAAGTGTATTCTCTTATGTCTCCAAAATATTCAACCTACTACAGCTGCAAAAACAGTGCCCCAATATTTTTAATGGAGCAAATGCCTTCAAAAGCTAGGATGCCTAGATATTCCAAGAGGCACTATTTATAGATTAGGAAAAAGGAGGGTTTTAGTATCCGCAAATCACTGATGGAAAGTACAACAGTCTCATCAAATCCTAACTTCGATTGTTCACAGACCTTTTCATCTGGTTGGTACAACCTCCCTTTATGCAAAGCTGACAGTAACTTTCTTTACAACAACTCAATGTACTTTTGTTACTTGTGACCAAAAAGTAGTGAAAATATTTATTTAGCTAATATTGAACCTAGAATCTTAACAAGGGTTTTACATGAATTTAGCATTTTTAGATAAATGTATGAATCCAAAAACACCTTAAAAATCACATCCAGACTGGTAAAGGTAATTGTAAAATATATTTTTGAGCATAAAGTGTGGTTTGTATATCTGTTCACATGCAGTAATCTTATAACATGTTAAACCAAAAGCTGTAAATAACATCAGATAAAAATGTTAAGGTTTGAATGTGTAGATATTTTAAAATGACTTTATCAAATATAAACATATTAAACATATTAGCAGCAACCACATTATTAGTTCCACATGTTCAGTTGCTCGTTAACACCAACTTCTATTTAACTCTGAATTATATGGTACAGAATATTTGGACATTAAGATACTAATCCTTTTGGAGGCCATTGTACTTCATTAACAGCTACTGTCAACAAACCTCAGTCATGTAGATGACTTTGGGACGTAGTCCATCTCAAGAATTACATCATGCTGCCACCCACACCTGCTTTTAAGAATATTTTCCTTCTGAAGAAGCTTAGTGAAACCTTTTTGCACAAGCATTCGTATGCATACATACCATGCAAGTTAGGTTCCAGGTGTTTACAAATACACAATAATACTAGACACTAAGCTGCTGCTACAGATATATACTACCCTGATTAATATAGTGTAATCACCAGAGGTTTTGACTGTGACACACATGGATATCTAAGGGATACAAGCTGCAAGAGCAGCTTTTTTTATTTTTACTTTGGTTGTCTGTTGTTATCTTTGTTTTCTGTTCCTCTCGTCTCATACAGGTGTGGAAGCCAACTTCTACGAGTTGCTGTATATCTTCTGAGTTGTCTGTTTTTGCTGTTTTGTGTTGTTTTCCTCTCTTTTCATGCGCTCTTTCCTATCTCTATCTCTTTCTCTCCCCTTAGTTCTTATACCCTCTTTCTTTCTCACCTCCCTTTCCATGCCCATTTCTGTTGTATACAATTTGACTCCCTAAATAATTTTCAATTAAGTTTAATATAGTCAAGATTTCGATTTTTGTAGTTAGAAGCTGTTTAATCTCCTTTAAGATTTAGCTTAGTTGATATTAAAGGCTGTAACAAGAACAAGATCTTTTCATGCCCCTCTTTCCTTTGCTTTAGGATAACATTGTTTATGTCCTCTTTTCTACATTATTTCTCTGTCTTTAGGATGTTTTTGTGCTCATGTTAGACCACTTTGAAAGTTTCTTATTTCAGCATAATTGGTCAAAATCACTTTTGATCAGAGTAGTTTTTTCCCATGCTTTCCCATACTAATGTTGGTTAGGCCTAAATGCTTTTTGAGATTTATCAGAAACTTAAAATAATTACGATCACTAATCCCTGAATTGGCTAGTTTGTATATTTGCACTGCTATAGCAAGAGACACAATATTAACAGCTTGTCTAACAGTTTCAGAATACAAGAACTACTGGGAAGTAGGAACTATGAGGACTGTCAATACATTTTCACTGCTCATACATTGTCAGAATTACAGTATTCTGTTGGTATAAGGAAATTATCTTACATTCACATATTTCATTCAGTGGATAATGAAAACTTGTAGATGGTGCAGTTAACCTTTCAGTAGATATCAGGACTGAGAAGCTTCACTCTCCAGGGTAAAAGTTTGGATCCAGTACACAGTCTTGTACTTCGACTGTTCTCTCAGGACCTTTTGAGTAAACAAATATTTCCCTCCGGAATGTTCGCTTTGAGTATTGTCAGCTTGTGAAAGATGTCAGTGCGATTATGTCTGGAGAGTTTGATGCCGAGAGGGCCAACCACAAGGCTCTCTGCTGTCACATAGTTCAGGCAATTGATGTGAGCATTCCGGTTTCGAAGAATGTTTGCGGTGCTGTCTATTTGAAAACGTTTGTTTTAATTGTTTTGTTTTCCTTCCTTGTGTGTACCTCTATGATTTAATTTTCCAATTCTGCTTTGCTGCCGGCACATCTACATGTTTGAGTTCTATTTTATTCTGTTCTGTTCTGGTTTTTGGTCTATTCTGTTTTAATCTACTCTATTCTGTTCTACACTGCATGAACTGTGGGAAGAATAGTGTTAGTTTTTCATGTCATTTACTGTTAATTTCACATTATACTATTAGATTAAAAATAATTTATTGTGAAGTGTCATAACAATAATACTCTCACTTTGCACACTTGTGTGCATACAGTAGTACACTCCTACACTATTAGAAAGTGACTGGAAAACACATTCCCTAGTTAACCTAGAAGTGGAAAATTCAACAGTATGAACAGGAATACTTCAAAGCTGGACTTTGACGGATTTAGGAAGATCATATTCCCTGTACTCTTTGATTTGATATAAAAATGGTTTGTTGATGTTTCGAGGCATCTCTGAAAATCTCATCTGCAATTTGTTTTATTTTAGGTCTGTCTGAGGCAACAACATTTGGGACCTTCTCAGGAAAAGACGTTCCATCACAGATTGCATCAAATGGACATATAATGAGACTGGAATTCCAGTCTGACCATTCCAATACTGGGAAAGGCTTCAATATCAGTTATACAAGTATGTACTGCATACCTGTTTACCTGCTTCTGTCAGTCCTTTTGATAGTGTGTGCTCTACAAGGTGTTTAGGGACATTGCTATGTGGCCAGCCACAATGACTTACATAGTGTGATTTCAATACACAGTGATTCTCTATGTGGAGACTCTCAAATTCACCAGACCAATCACATAGTGGGAGGCAGGTGTTTACTCTTAGCGTCAGAATTGTACCCATAAGAGTCATGAGAATGGCCGTAAAGGAGCAGTATTTTTATGACGTTCTTTAAAAAAAAAAAAAAGCTGGAAGCTATTATTCTACCATGAGCTGAATATTTCTTTAAAACCTCAACAACCACCCGTTCTAAGGGCTTTTCTATTTAAATAGATCTGATTGGTCCTTATCTGTATCCACTGACCTTTTTAGTCCAGACTTTAAAATCAGACTCAACCTGGTCCTTTCCAGACTAATATACCATGTTTACAGATTATGTCATTTTGGCTTAGCTAATTTTACTGCAATGTGACAGGACATATAGCTGAGGGTATCTTAAAATGTTCTCCATCGAGAGTTTGAGAAAACAACTTTTTTTAGTAGCAAAATAACTGAATGTTTGGGATACTCTAACAAGGATTAACTTTTAATCCATATTATGACATTAAAAGAGATTGTAACCCGACATGTCTTTGCACAACAATCAGTCTGGAATTGCATTTTTTCATAATTTGAAAAAATATATATATATTTTTTTATGTTTATTAGGAAATTTATTCTGATAATGACAACCATTAAAAATAGCATTTCATTGGTTGTCCATACTTTCAGAACTAAATACAGGGCTTTAAGTATTTGGAAAATATTATTTGGCTTTCCAACTTGTCCTGGTTTCTCTCTTATCGTGACTTTCCATTAGTCCATAATCAATATGCTCTGATAAATTCTTGCAAGTGGTGTTCATTTGTTAACTTAACCTTGCAATTGTAAGTAACAGCTAAGTCGAATTGGATCCTTGTCAAACCACATAATCTGCAGCATAACTAATTAAAAGATGCCACCATTATAAAGTTGACATACATAGCTGGAGCAGATAGCTGCAACTATATCCTAATCATCATTTAAACTTTATGAAAAGTTCGATAGCAGTTGAGTTGAAATATGTTTAATTATTTCTTTACTTGTGTTATTCATTGTTTAGATAAGTGTTGAAAGCTCCAAATGAGGCAAAAGACTAAATTCCAGTAAAAGTGATATACAAAGTAAAGGTGATAGCATGAGCAGTCTGATTAGCTCTGCTTTATGCAGGTCATCAACTTGTTAAGGTCTGTTTCATTCTGTGAGACTTTTAAACTGACTTTTGCAGCCTGTGTGTTTACCTGGAATGCTGTAGGTCGAGCAAGTTGTGCATGAATGATTTTGATTCATTTTGTATGATTACTATGCAGCTTTGCACCATTTCACACACTGCCTCCATAAATGACCTTGTCTCCAGCTCTTCCTTTAGGGGTGACATTTGACATATTAAATTGCTTTTTTTGTTTCAGCATATTTATAAAAAAAAAAAAAAAAGCTGCTTACAAGAAACTTCAATGCGTTTGTTATTTATCATATGTACAAACTTGAGTAGTTCCCACTGAAATTGAAAAAGTTTCCAATTATGAGCTTTTAATGATAACATTTTTGATTCCCTACTTAATCAGTACCTGTTGACATAATTAATACAGGGTATCTTTACCCAGTTTAGTAATATGGGCCATTAACATTTTAATGTATGTGTTAGTTTTAACAGAAGTTGCTTGAGGTGTTTTTGTACTGCTTGAATAATAATGTTTTTAAAAAGTCGAATATGGTGATGACACACACAAGACTGCTTAAGGCAGTTTATGGAGCCAAATAATCAGTCCTAGCTAATAACTGTTCCTTTAAATTATTATTTTTTTTGTTTGGTGTAAGCTATTTGCAATATGTCATGTTTAATTTCTGTTGTGATTTTTTGTATTTGAAAGCAGGGTTTTATTTTTTTTTCAAGATAGATGCCACTATTATTAGTACTTCTTCACTGTGAAGATTTTTAAAGTTCGGAAAAAGGCAAGTAAATTCAAAGAAATAACAACAGTGGGGGAAAAGTGCTGGACAGAACTCTAATGGGCTCAATTGACATCAAATTCACACCAAACATTAGTAACAATCTGGATCAGGGATGTCAAAGTCAAATACACCGAGGGCCAAAACAAATAAATTAGCTACAAGCCGAGGACCCAACTGGTTAAATGTTTATTAAAAGATGTTGAAATGAACATCGCCTATTGAACCAAGACCTAACACATTTTTTTTAAACAAAATATTAATCTCTAAATTATTAAGAAACTTTTATTATATTAATAAACTTATTGAAATAAATACATAAATGAAAGTGCATGCATTATAAACCGAAAATGAATTACTGTGCTGTACTATGATCCTACAGATCACTGCTTTCAAATAGTAAAATAAGAAAAAAAATCTAAACAGTTGTATTCTCTCTCATGCCTCTTATCTGCAGTCTATTCAAATGAAAAATATGAAAAATAAAATAAAACATGAAAATCTATGGCACACAGACAAAACAATACTTTCTTCAAAGAAAAATCACGTCTTGTACAAAGAAATATAAAATTTTTGTGATGAAAGATGACAGCGGACCCAGAATTCAGCCAGAGGAATTTATTAAACAAAAAGCAGAGCAATACCAAAAAGGACATAAGAATCAAAAAGACTACAGACTACAGGTGTCAGCAGAGGCTGATTGAAGCCAAAATAAAAGGAGCCTGGATTGAAGAGAGGGGAGCTGATCCTGCTGGTCAAAGAGACGGACACGCTGCCGAGCGAGGGGCAGGTGGGATCCGCACTTCAGGCACAGAATACTGGGAGGTGAACAGACGGCAGTCAGGTGAGAGGTCTGCGCTCCGTCTCGACCAGAGTATCGTGTGGATCCAAGCTGCCCCTAGCTCATCAGCGTGTCCCCTCCCTCCATCCAGGCTCCTTTTAATTCGGCTTCACTCCGCCTCCTCAGGCCACCGACTTCAGCCCAGCTTAGATTGTTAAAGGATGAAAAGCAAAGACCAAAACAATCCAAACATGCAAAGAACAACAAAAAGAAAAGAAAAACACAATTTTGTTTTCCCCTGAGAATGTAGATTTGGTGCGTGCAACACATCCGCACCAACACTACATTCCCCACAATGCAACGGCAGGATGCGAAGTCAGAGCAGCAAGCACAAGCGGCCGTGGCCTGTGGGCCAGTTCTAATGGTAATTAAATATTATCCAGGGGGCCATGGATAAACAATTCAGGCCTTGACTTTCACATATGTGATCTAGATTATCATAACATACAAGACAATCAAAAACAATAAGTCTTCGTCTTCGTCGTCTCCCGCTTTATCCGGAACCGGGTCGCGGGGGCAGCAGACTAAGCAGAGACTCCCAGACTTCCCTCTCCGCAGACACCTCCTCCAGTTCTGCTAGGGGAAGCCCTAGGCGCTCCCAGGCCAGCCGAGAGACGTAGTCTCTCCAGCGTGTCCTGGGTCGTCCCCTGGGCCTCCTCCCAGTGGGACGTGCCTGGAACACCTCCCAAGGGAGGCGTCCAGGGGGCATCCGAAGAAGATGTCCGAGCCACCTCAACTGACTCGTCTTGATGTGGAGGAGAACCGGCTCTACACTGAGCCTCTCCCGAATGACCGAGCTCCTCACCCTATCTAAACAATAAGTCCATTAACATTATTGGCGTCAGGTATTGCTTGTATTATACAATTGGACCCTTTTATTAATAAAAGTGACATAAAATGTTGCTATTTCTGGTCTGCTTTCTTAAATTCAATTAAAAAAAAACTGAAAATAAGTTGTGTTCAAGTCAGATGATTGTTTGGTTAATTCTTTCTTAATTCTTTCATTTTCTTTCTCGTACAAATAGTTTCCCTGGCTGTGAGTTCGATCATTGTCTTGCTTGAAAATGTGATTGATTCATCTTCAGCTTTTTATAAAGAATGTCTCCATATAATAACAAAAGCTCTTCATCATTTTTTTGCTTGTCTGAGCTGTTGGTATGATGTTATCTTTTTATGTCCCTTACAATAAGGTTTAATCCAGTGAAGTTTTCTTTTCTTTACTTTTTGCTCTCAGTAATTTCTTTTTAACCTCCTCTCAAACACATATTTTTCCTGGTGCATTAGACACAGGGCTGCTGTTTTTATTTGACATCTGAGTAGAGTCAAACAATGTCTTTGAAAATTATATGCATTTTGATTTATAGAGTCTATTTAATACAAATCTGTATTCTATCATATAAGCGCTATGATATGTGCACATTCTTTAAATTTGCATGCTCACAGTTTCTTCTGTCCCTCGTTTTTTTCCTCTGTGTTTTTCATTTCATTTTGAGCTCATTTCCTCCCCATCAGTAGCTAATCAACCTGAGACATGTCAAATCATTGGATATGTGCTCTGCCTGGAATCAGGTTAATCTCTGGAATGTGGATAATATAAGCCAAACATGACAAGGTTGAATTCACATACAGATAATTTCATTCCCATATTTCTGTACCGGTGGAGTTGTCACATTTAATGACATTGATAGAGCAGTGGTGTCCTATTCATTTATGTTTTCCTTATTATTACCCATTTTAGGCTTAGATTGTATTGAAAACCAACATATAATCAAATCATCCATTATAGAGGAGACTTTTTTTAATCCATTTTAATGCAATGCCTGTTTTATACATGTCAGCTATATACTGCATTTTTTTCTATTGAAAATTGTTAATGGTCTGAATTTATTTAGTTCTGTTCTAGTAATGCTAATCACTGAACGTGCTCAACAACATCTGCCCTGACATCTGACTTAACCTCTGTATTCTTTGGAAAAACATTTGGTTCTAAGTATTTTGCTTTTTTGACCACTTTTCTTTTGCTTTGTCCCCTACAAGCATTTGGGCAGAATGAGTGTCATGACCCAGGTGTTCCAGTCAATGGACAAAGGTATGGTGACCAGTTTCAGCTCGGCAGCTCAGTGGCTTTTCGCTGTGATCAGGGATTCATCAGAACACAGGTAAAAATGTGACTTCTTACTTCATCAGCTATTTTGTTCTCAAGTAAAATCCGTATACTTTTTAGCAATGCACATTTTAGAGAGTAAAAACAACTTTGATGAAACTATTTTTTTTCCCAGGGGTCGGATCAGGTGACTTGTATCATTCAGGATGGAAATGTTGTTTGGTCTGCAGCTGTTCCCCGATGTGAAGGTGAACACAAAGAAATATTTCTAATATTGCAAAGCATCAAAGAAATTTACTCCCAATTTATCTTTTCAACAGAAGAGTGATTTTTTTTTTCATACATTGCTTTTAATTTCTCCACACTGATGATGGATGGATGGAATATTATATTGAATAGCAATGCCTTAGCTAATCTGGAAACATACGCTCAACAATATAGAAATGCAACCCTTTTGGTGTTGCTCCCATTTTGTTTAAGAGTAACTCAACGATCTAAAACTTTTTCCACATACACAATATAAAAATATCCCTCAAATATTGAGCACAAACCAGTCTATATCTTTGAAAGTGATCACTTGTCCTTTGCTTAGGTAATCGACACTGACTCAAAGGTGTGCCATGTCAAGATACTGATTAGACACCAAGATTAGTGCACAGGGGTCGTTTAGACTGCCCACAATAAAAGGCCACTCTGAGAAGTGCAGTTTTATCACAAATCACAATGCAACAGATGTCGCAAGATTTGAGGATTTGTTCGCTGACAGAAGGAATGTCAACCAAAGCTGTTGCTCATGTATGTTCATTTCTCTACCATAAGCCGTCTCCAAAGGCATTTCAGGGAATTTGGCAGTACATCCAGCCAGCCTCACAACCGCAGACCACATGTAACCACGTCAGCCACAGACCTCCACAGCATGTTCCCCTCCAAGATTGTCTGAGACCAGCCACTTAAACAGCTGCTGAAACAATCAGTTTACATAACCAATATGTCAAAAAAACCATCTCAGAGAAAGCTCATCTTTATGTCTGGTATCTGGCACGTTGGAGATGTGTTCTCTACCCGCATGAATCTCGGTTTACACCGTTCAGGGCAGGTGGCAGACAGCATGTGTGACATTGTGTTGGTGAGCGGTTTTCTGAAGTCAATGTTGTGGATCGAGTGGCCCGCAGACGGGTCATGTATCTGTTATGGATGAAGAACAAAGTTGCATTTTAAATGCACAGATATACCCTGATGAAAGCCAGAAGCTCGTTGTGGTGCCATACAACCAAGAACATCACCTCATGTTGCAGCAGGAAAATGCACGACCCCATGCTGCAAGGATCTTTACACAATTCTTGAAAGCTAAAAAAGTCCCAGTTGTTGCAAGGCTGGCCTACTCACCGGACGTGTCCCCGGTTGAGCATATTTGGAATGCTCTGTATCGGCGAATGGACAGCGTGTATCAGTTCGTGCCAATATCCAGAAACTTGACACAGCCATTGAAGAGGAGTGGACCAACATTCCACAGGACACAATTGGCAACCTGATCAACTCTATGCAAAGGGGATGAGTTGCACTTGGTCAAATGGTGCATTGCACTGAGTCAAATGGTGGTCACACCAGGTACTGAATGGGCAGTAACTGAGATGTGCTCTGTCCTGCTAACTTTATTTTCTTGTTGTGAATCGAAAATATGATTTCAACTGAGAACTTAAAAGTAAAGAAAAAATATATAAAGTAAGATAATTAAGAGCAAACCTAACATGATTATTCTTTAACTTCACTGAGTCTTCTAATCTATAATCTAGTCCCAGAGCAAGTCTTGTACACTGCAGTTTTCTAAGTTTCACTTATCTTAAGATACATTTTTTGAATCATTTGACACTTAAACATATTTTTGATTTCCCCTTGAAATAACATAACCTAATTAAGGTGTTTTTCAAATGAGAGAAAGTTAGATTTGTTTACTGGAATATTGACTCAGCATAATTTCAGATGTACAGTAAGTAGTGTATAAACTGAACGAATTCCAAAAGGGATTAGAAAGTAGAAAATAAAGAGTAAATCTGCAAACTTAATGGCATGCAATTTTGGTGCTTATACAAAACAAAAATGAATATTTTTTTAATCATTGTAATGTGTGTGTGTATTTTTTTTCTCCACCTTTCTCCAGCTCCCTGTGGAGGCCATCTCACCGCCCCTACTGGTGTCATTCTGTCTCCTGGTTGGCCATCCTTTTATAAAGATTCTCTTAACTGTCAGTGGGTCATTGAGGCACAGAAAGACCATGCTGTAAAAATACACTTTGACAAGTAAGTTATTAGTATTCTGCATTTGAAGGTTAAATTGAGCTCTTATGAACTTGATAGTTTGTGGTATTTTTTTGGTTGCTTACATACTATATAATTAAGTCTTCAGTACTGTGAGAAATAGAGATATATAAAGCTGCAGTAAATGATTAATGTTGTTATTTACACATCTTTCCTGGCAACAAGCCGTGGAAAAATGTGCTGGAGCTTGAAACTGCTACAGCTGAAATTTGTAATTTTGGGACGTGATGTAAAGCCCAAGTCATCTTCATCACCTAGGAGGTATTTCATTTGCGAATTAATGCACATGTCCGTGGCAAAGGCTAGTTCATTTTTCACTGAACTGGTCAGTTATTGTTATGATGGATGACTCACTCCCAAGGCCTGATTATTTTCAGCCAACATCATGCTTTTAATTGCCTGTATGAGAAATGTTTTTTTTCTTGACTCATAATTTGTCAAGTATTGGTCCTAAAAATCTGCAGTAGATCTTATGGGTCTGTAATTTGTAGGTTGTTGTGTTTCTAAGATCGTATTACACTTACGGTATATTAAATTGGGGGGTGGGGCGGGGAATGAAAAATAATTGCATCACAAATAAGGTATGTTTTTTCACTGAAGATACAAAATCAAAGATCTAAATTAAAAACACCCGTAGAAGCCTCCAAAGCTCAAGACTATTTTCAAAGATTACAAGCACGTTTTGCAGGCTTTTTGTAAGAAAGAAACAAAAAAATACTTTTTTGAAATGATGTATCTTCATTTTATCTTTTATCCCTGATATCTTGCTAATTTCACTGATCTTTTAAGTTGCCCAAACATATGTTTGTCTTTGATATGAAGCAGATGCAGCTGAAGTTCACATGCAAAATGTATCTTGAGTAAAGCCCTCTATTTTCTTGTAAAAAACATTTAAACAAAAGCTCTAAAGCACATAGTATTTAAATATATGTTGAGATAATTCTACCCTAAAAACAAAATAAATTACATTTAAATGTGAAAATCTTGATTTATTAATTAGATTTTAAAAAATCAATAAAAATGATCAAATTGACATTAGCCTGTTCTAATTTAACCCTGCTTAGCTCAGTCAGAAGAGGAAGAAATCACTCCTTTCTGGTTATACTATGTAATGTTCTGACAGCAATATATTCAAATGTTCTGTTTGACAATAATTGGATAGTTTGAATACCCTGCATGTATCTGTAAAGTTGTCTGATTTCATATGTCCATACTTTTTGTTTGTTTGTCTAGGTTCCAGACAGAGGTTAACTATGACACACTGGAGATTAGAGATGGCCCATCTGCCTCGTCTCCCCTGATCGGCGAATACCACGGCACCCAAGCACCTCATTTCCTGATTTCCACATCCAACTTCCTGTTCCTGTTATTCACTACCGACAACAGCCGCTCCTCAGCGGGTTTCAGCATCAGATATGAAAGTAAGACCAACCAACTGGCTGATAGAGGTGTTTTTTTACAAACACATTTGCTCACCATGTTTGTTCTTGTGCCATGTTATTTTCAGGTGTGAAGATGGAGTCAGACTCCTGCCTCGACCCTGGTATCCCAGTCAACGGTCGTCGCCATGGCAGTAGCTTTTCCATCGGCTCGCATGTCTCATTTACATGCAACGCCGGATACACACTCAGTGATCAGGAGCCAATCGTTTGTGACCAGAATCACCAGTGGAGTCATGCTCTTCCCAGCTGTGATGGTTAGGATCTATTCTTCTATGATTTCTGCCCTGTTAATCCGGTGTGGCAAACACTTCTTTTTCTTCAAAAGCAAATAATAAAAAAAAGAAGTGATGATCTGAAAACTATGTATTCAAGAAAAGCGTGTTATCATTTTCAAAGAAAACCTTTTTGGAAAGACAAACTTAATATACAATGGCCCAGCAGGTCAGTGTGGTCCTCTTATGCCATTAAATTTTAAACTTGAACTAGAAAAAGATTAGAAAGCGGTTAAAACTATATTTCTAACTTGCTATATTTAAGTATGTAAAGAGCTATGGTTGCATTTCCCTTTTTGCTGAATTTGCATTCATTATAGAATCCATGTGTTTCATGTCAACACATTTAGCACACAGTGGGAGTCAGGGATGCTGGTAAACTGTCACATTATAACCTCACTGGTCTCTGGTTCTAATCTTACTGATACAGGTGTTTCTTTGTGTCACATCCATACAGGTCATTGCAGTTCCTTTTTCAAACAGTAGAGGCTGCTGAACAAACAAGTGTATTTAATAGCTTAAAAGAGAAGTTTGTAAGAGAAGGTCCTTCATTATATACTATCATATTTTCATATGCTGTTTTTTAAGGTTTCATGATATTTTAACAAAGTAAGCTTTAAAGAGTTTTCATGGGAGCATCTTGTATTCTCAGCAATACTTTTTAACGCACAAGTGCATTTGCCTCAGTTGGCACACATAAATAAATAAATTAATTAACAGGCATGTTGAAGGTATAAGATTTTAAAGAAAAAAACTGAACCATGACATAATTCCTTGTTTTATGTATGTTTTAAGTTTATTTGTCATTTTGAGCTAAATGCTTGTAAAAAAGAAAAAAAGAAAAAGAAAAACATGCTTTTAGACACATGCTTATTACTCTTTCCTTTTGGGGAGCATCAATCACATCACGCTTGACAACCCAAAAAAGATGGGGACGTGCACAACCAGGATTTGCGAGGGATTATCCCCTGTATCACACTTGTTCACTTCAGGGCTCTAGCGTAAAAAAAAAAAAAAAAGAGATTTCCCTTAAAGCTTTACTGCGTTTAAAGGTATAATAGGAAATGGTTTCATCTATGTTTTGCTTAAAATAACTTACATTTTTGGGCTAACAGCTGTGGGGTTATTATACAAAAACTATCTTGGGGTCTTTCTGTACTGATACAACGACCCACATGTAATGAAATGTGCCCATATTTTTATGCATTTAAGTAAATTACAGCCACCTAGTGATGCGTTGTATTTTTGAAGAACATTTCATTTTGTTTAATTACTTTAATAGCTATCAGAAACCTGTCCGGAATTATTGTCACAACTTGTTGGAAGTTAGTTATGTTTTATATTTAATTGAAAAATGGCTATCTGCTGAAAGACTATTTGATCTACCGAATAACATAATAACATACGTATCGACAAACAAATGACAAAACAGGACAGGGATGACACTGAAGGTATACTTCTGTTGAGTAAAAGCCTTCAAGTTTTTAGGCAATAACAGTTCAGTATATCTTTATATATTTTGTGTGATAATTTTAAATTCAATTGCATTTTGGACATTGATCAATGACTCTAAATGAGTCTGTTAAAGGAATTCATTTTTCTACTGTCTTTATGAAACTCCAGCATCTGACCAGCTGACCGATTTATACATTTTATTCTGATATTATATTTTCTTAAATATTAAGAAAGCACTCTTAAAATTCTAAGAAAATTCTGGGGCTCAAGAAATGACAAATGCTACACAAGGAAATTCTTTAGAGAAACGCATTGAGAGAAATCTGCTTCATGGATCTATTGCATGAATAAAGCAAACAGTGGCTGGAAACAGGTTGTAAAAAAATTGGATCATACAGCTTTGTGATTTCTTACCCCATCTTTCTGCCTCATCTCTACTCTTATTTTCTGTTTGTCAATAGCCTTTTTACAGCCTCTGCTTTTATCCAAAATGCAATGTTACTATTTCCAGGGTAGGGAACTTGAAATAGTATGCATTAAGTGACTAGCCAGTCACAGGGTTAACACCTACCACATACATAAAGGCTGACCTTTACACTTCTGAGCGATTTCTAGACATTTGAGCAGACATAGAGGTGCATGCAAATTAGTCAAAAGCTGTTCGTTCTTTGGCATATTAGTATTCACATTACTTACTTCCTGCTCACTAATAAAAATACAGCATTGGCTTAACCTTATCATTACAAACATCTAAAGGATATTCTTATTTTTATGCATCAGGAAAATAAAACAAATAATAAAAAGATATATATTTTCACCATCTTGTTCCAGCTCAATTGCTTGTGGTGATATTTTATTTATAGGAATGCAGTGCAAGGATTGACAAATGCTGCAGAAACATGAAGGTCATAACCTACTCTGACTCAGCTTCAACCTAATAATCTGAAAATGTTTTTGGAGAAAAGTTCAACTTCCCCTAGAAGCCCTTTGCTTGTTTTGATTTTACAGTAGTTTGTTTATGGTTTTGCATATTATTAAATTAACAAATACATTACGATAAGGAAGCCAAAAATGTTTTCATAAAAAAATCATGTCAACAAATTTTTACAAGACATACCAAAACATATCAAATTTATGTTGTGCGTAGTTTTCTAAGCTTCTCTAATTGGAAATATATTAGAAGTAAGGAATGCGAAAATAAGATAAGGGTCTGGATTAATGGAAATGTGAAGCACAACTGTGACATCTTTAACTTTTATTCTTGAACAAGAAGAGACGTCATTTTCTCCTTTTTTATTATTTAGAACAGGCAGCTGGGCGGTTGATTGTGCAATCAGTCCTTATTCCCTCAGAAAAGATTTCTGTAATAACTTAAGTTGGACGTTTGGTCTTTAGAGAAATTACACTCAGCATGCCATGGCCATTTTGCAACCCTACAGTTCTTTTTTTCCTAACGGTTTACGCTATTCCATTAGATAAGGATATTGTTTCAGATTTCAGTTCATGAATATAAAGAATTCCATTTAAAAAAACTCAACTATCCCAAACTTTCTGCAGCAGACAGCCACTGTTAAATTTTTTTGTGTGTTTCAACAAGGATTTCATGTCAGCAAATGCATGATAAAGTAGCCGATAAACCAGACTAAATCTGAGTTCTATTTCATCCCTACTGACCGCCAGAGGGCGGTGCTGAAAGCACTGAATGTTCCCTTCGGGCATGCGCAGTTCGAGTAATTATACCAACAGAGTCACACCTGTGACACCGGATGACCACTCAGAAGCTATATAGCCTGGTGTCATCCTTTGCTCTGCTCCTTTTTTCTTCTCGCAAGCGGTTCGCTAACTTCCCCGTTGTCTGAAGCCCCTGTCTCTTGACCGGAGTTGCGGTTATTCTCCGCCCTCCCAGGGCTGCAACGGGTCGATTCTGAAGATTACGGAAGGTAAGTGAGTTGTTTGCTGGTGATGGTAGCGTCCGCGCCCCCTCTCCCGGCTCACGACTTTAGCTTTTTACCTACAGCTTCGTGCTGTTTTGTTCCGAACTGGTGACGGCAGCGTTTTCGCCCCTACTCCCAGTGTGAATAACTTCACTGCCGAAGTTATATACGGCTAACGTAGTTAGCTTCTTTAGTTTGTTGGTGTTATACCTGGTGACGGCAGCGGTTTTCGCCCCCTCTCCCAGTATATTCCCTACTTTTGCATCCTTTTTTTCACCGGTCTGCGCTGCTATAATTACTGACGGCCGCGGTTTTCGCCCCATCTCCCAACCAAGTGTGGTCTACTTCGTTGCCGAAGTTGGAGACGGCTAACGTTGTTAGCCTTTTTTGGTTTGTTTGCAGCCTTCTTCATCGGTCTGCTTAATTATAAATGGTGACGGCAGCGTTTTCGCCCCCTCTCCCAATATCAACCTTTTTTTGCAGCCTTTTCGTTGGTCTGCTCTCTTAATTGGTGACGGCAGCGTTTATCGCTCCTACTCCCTACTTAAGTTGCCATACAGCTAACGTTGTTAGCTTTTTTTGTTTATTGCTTTTATACCTGGTGACGGTAGCGGTTCTCGCCCCCTCTCCCGGTATCGGCCGCCTTGTGTCCGCAGCCTCTGTTGTTTTATCCGCTATAATTGGTCACGGCAGCGTTGTTCGCTCCTACTTCCAACTTAGGTTTCCATACAGCTAACGTTGTTAGCTTTTTTGGTTTATTGGTTTTATACCTGGTGACGGTAGCGGTTCTCGCCCCCTCTCCCAGTATCGGCTGCCTTGTGCTCGCAGCCTCTTTCGTTTCTCTGCTGTAATTGGTGACGGCTGCGTTTGCGCCCCCTCTCCCGATTTTCGATAACTTTCTGTTCTTTAAGCCTTGTCGGCCTTCGACATGGATGGCTCTCACAGCTGCATAGATTGTGGGGCTGCCCTGCAGGCAGAGGATGGCCACGACCTGTGCCCTACCTGCCTTGGACATGAGCACCTTTTGGAGGCGCTGTCTGAGAACCCCTGTATGAACTGCAGCTTTATGCCCCATGCAGTGAGGGTGGCCCGGTTGGCCCAGTTGTGCCCCCAGGAGGGCTCGGACCTTCCGCCCTCTGGGCAGGTGGTTCCCCCCAAGCGTTCTAAGCGCCGTGGTGGGACCACAGCATCTGTGCCCCTCCCCCGGAGGAAGCGGGCCAAACCTGACCAGGGCCTGTCCACAAGGGTGGAGCAGTTGTCAGCAGAGCTGGCAGAGATGAAGTCCTTGTTGCAGACACGGCAATCTGATCCCTCGCTCCCAGTGGTTGGGCTCTCTTCCCCACCAATGCCCGAGCTGGTTGTAGAGGATGACGTTATCTCTCTGGCTGCCTCCGCTTCTCATTTTAGAGATGAGGAGGAGGCAGGGTCCTCTCAAGCCTCTGAGGCTGGTTCATTTTCATCTCAGAGTGCGGTTGGAGAGGCCGGCGACGGTTCCATGCGGGAGGTCATGTCTATGGCCCTGAAGCAGCTGCAGCTGGAACTCCCACAAGGAGAGGCATCCAGCTCTGGCAGTGCTTTTTTCAGACGTGGAAG